CTGCGTGGGCAGAGCAGAACCGTAGGCACCGAGGCCACTGGTACCAGTAAGCCCAGTCACTGATACTGGGGTCCTGGTGAAACTGGGATGGCTTGTGCCAGGGACTCCGGGGTGGACAGGGAGCACGCTGTGCCCCAGGAGGGGACCCGGGTGCCCGGGCAGCAGGTGCTCACCAGTTGCCAGAGCCCACGACGCAAACTTTCTTGCCACCCATGGTGTGGAGAGCTGGGGCGCTGCGCAGCGCGCTGCCTGCTGCTGCTATTTCAAGGCCACCCGAGGCAGGGGCGGCCCCATCCCGCCTCTGGCCCCGCCTCACCCCGGGGGGAACCGGGCACCGGTGTCCCGGGATGGCAGAGCTGCTTTCCCGGGTGCACCCGGCTCAGCGGGCTGCGATGCGGGACTGCGCTGCAGGTACAAACTGTTCTCCTAAAGCAAACCTCGGATCCTAAATCTCAGCAGAGCCAAGTCCTGACTGCTCTGAGCCTCTTTCCCCCTTTTTTTCTGCATAAAAGCATTTCATTTTCCTCCTCTTTCCAAAAAATTGTTGGGTTTTTCAACCCCCAAGTAAGAAATACACGAACCATCTGGTCACAGACCCAAGACAAAACTGCTGCCCCACTCTCACAGCCTTAAGCAGCAGCACTAACTGCCCTTTCTTCCATACAGAGATCTCCCTCCCTTGCAACGAGGGCTTACAGGTTTTCTGTAGTGTTACATTTCTCCTTTTATAAACAAGGCAGGGTGAAGACAGTAACGCCCCTTTTGCATCATTTTAAACCCTTGTCTGTAAACTTTTAAGACAGTTTTCTCAAAATTATACCTGACTCCCATGGGAGCTTGTAACGGGCTGTCAGAATTCTGCAAGGCAGCAGAATGTGGAAACTTGGGCTGTTGTATATTTTATCAGCAGCTTGGCTACTGGATTTCCAGTTTTGCTCATGTTACTTTGTTTACCACAAAAGCAAAGACTTTGAGCAGACTCTGCAAGCCAGGAGATCCTTACATGAAAGGCTCTCTCTATAAAAGGCCAAAATATGAAGAACATTTTCTCTCCAGTCTCTTAACACACTTGGCTTTGTCAAGAAAAAAAAAAAAGAGGAGATAATCCTGTCCCTTCCCAGGCAAGTACATGAAGTGTCATCCACCAAGGCAGCTGCTAAGAGAAAGCGTGCTGTCAGCATAGAAAGAAGGAGGACACCTTCCTTCACAGGAGGCTTTTATTAAAACTGGGTGACATCTACAAGGATACAGTACAAAAAAAATTTTGGTCCATGGAAAAAAAAAAACCCAACCCATAATATTCAGTTAAGAAAAAAGCAGTTACTCTGCAACAGCTACGTTTGCCTACGCAGTACTCAGCATCCTTCATGTGTGATTACCCTGAGGAGTCAGTGGGCTGCTTCATCAGCACCAAGACCTTCACCCCAGTACCACAGAGGAGCCATTTCATAAGAGGGCAAAGGAGAAGGGAAGTCGAGAGTCTATTACTCACAGACATGTAGTAACACAGACACAAGGAGTAGGACCACCCAGGCTCCCAAATCCATAGCAACCTTCCCAACCACACCAAAGCTGGGTGTGGGGATGAGGGGAGTTTGTCAGTAACGTGATTTTGCAGCTATTCCATGAGAATATGACCAACCTTAAAGTCCATTTGCATTACAGTTCCGAGCAGGAATACTGAGATCCAGGTTAAGAGAAGCCATTCTCTTACCCCTGACCAGTTCACCAGTAATGCATTCCACAAAGAGGGATCTGGGCTGCTGCTCCCCACGGTTGAGAAAAATCTACTTGTACATTCCTGAACCACGCTGGGCTTACGGCAGCCTCAGAACCTAAAACTTGACTAAAAAAAAACCCCACAAGAGCTTCAGCATGGAGACACTTGCTAACTCATGTATGCCTGGAGCTGCATCCATTCCCAAGGACTGTCCTGTTACACCCTCAGGTCCACATGAAGAAGCCTCTGGTCCCCAAAGCAAGTGACACGGGAAAAACTGTCCCAAAGGAATGAGCCTACAGCACTGTGCCCCTGCACAATTCCACCAGGCAGTTGCTCCATCCCCTTTCCCTGCTAGAGGGAAAACAAGCAGCCAGATGGGTTGCTGGAACCCCAAGTGTAGGTCTTTTGAAGTGCAGGGAAGTCTCACCACTCCAATGCTTCCACACCCCTGCAGTAAGCCAATGCCTTCTCTCCCCTGTAATCCCGGCCTAGGACAGTCTCTCAAAAAACACGAAGGGAACAGGGCAGGAAAAGAGGGTCAAGGGAAGAAGCAATTCTCTACAGAGTCCACTCAAGGAGGAGAGTGACCTACGAGGCAGCCCAGTGCAGCAGCACCCTCCGACTGAGGGAGTAAGGGCAGGGAGGTATGTCAGCTCATGGCATCCTGCCCACTACATCTCCTGGCACCTTGCTATAAAACGAGGCAGGGAAGAGAACAGCCACAGAGCTCCACCCGTAGAGCAGATCCAGGCTTCCCAGACCCAGGTCTCATGTGCCACAACTAGATGCTAGTTGGGGAGGAATGGTCTGTGGCTTCTGAACTTGAGAAAGGCTTCAAGTCAGCAGTCGTACTGGCTACTGGGGACACTACAGGCAGCGCGGAGTCAAGGGGAGGCTCTCAGAAGCCTTGGGACTGACAAGGCAACAGTCCAGAAGAAAACCAGGTAGAAATGTGTGCTCATTGGAGCCTGTCTGCTTGCCACACCCCAGAAGACCCCAGATGTCCTGGAGTTGCCCCGACAGGGACAATGCCAGGATGAATAATGATGCGGGCCTCACTGCTGGAGTGGAATTATGTGAGCCATAATAGCATAGTCTGCAGCTCTCTGTCTCCACAAATAGCTGTGATGCCTTCTGGTCGGGGAGGAGTGGAGCAGCCTATGTGTTACGGATTCCCAGGGCCTGCTCCAATTCCTGCCGTCTTTGCTGCACCTGCAAGAGAAGCCAGAATTGCAGCATTAACACACTCAGATGGTGCAGCACCACAGCATCCGAGTCACACAGGACCCAGGGGGAAAAGGGTGAACTCAACTTGGGACCAAGATGCATCACCAGTGTCTACAAGTGAAGCTTAGCACTGCCATTTGTCAGCAAGAGGTGACAGGTACTCTGAGCCACTTGGTTTGGAGAGGGACCCCTGCTCAGGGACGCTCACCTTGGAGTAGAAGTATCTGCACACAGCTTCCTGAGCCCACGGCTGGAAGTAGAACTCAGCTCTACGCTCCTCTTCAGGATTCCCAACAACATCAGTCATTGTCTGGAAAGTACAAAGGACAAAACAGTTCAGGGAGTGCAAAAGCTCCGGCTGTGCAGAGCAAACCCACACCCCCTCCCCTTTCCTCAAAGAAATATCAGTACAGTCAGGTCAGGTTCTTACACTTGACTCCAATTCTAGTCTTGCTTTCCGAGCAGGAAATTGCCTCTCTCTCTGTGGGAGCTGGTTATAATGAGGGAAGCTGTGACTGGATCCACCTTCCACACAAGACAAAGCTTTTACCTTTAAATCCCGGCACTGGGACTGTAGCCAGTCGTTGATGAAGCCCTGAGGATCTCGGGCAAAGCTCAGCATGAATTCACGCTGGGTCTTGAGCTGGTTAATTGTCTCTATTGTTTCATGAATCTGAAGGAGATAAGCACAGCAATTGAACTGCTGAATAGGGGAAAAAGAAACCTCAAGAGACCCAACACATGAAGGTGAATTCTTAGGCTCCCTGGCTGACATCACACAGGACTTTCAATTCCCAGTTTCCTGCTCTAAATATTACCAATTTTCCCACTGATCATTTGTTTTAAAACTACACTTCCAGGTAAAGCCACCTGTTTGTAAGCATGGCTGACCCCACTCCAGCTTCCAAATGAACAACAGAGCAAAGCTCCTGTCCTGTTTAGGGCTCACCTGCTACAGACACACAGCCCTACCCTGCAATGAGGAGGGTAGACCTGAAGGAGCTCTTCCTACCTTGTTATCCAGAGCAGCAATTTCCTGTTGACTGGCTGTAGAGAGCAGAAAGGAATTCATCTGAGTTTTCAAGGTATCATCCACCTCCACATCAATGTCATAGCAAGCTGTTTTCTTCTGGTCATTTGGGTCAACACTAAGGGAATCCACAAGAAAGAAGCCAAAATAAGTTAAGTAGCTCAAAAAAAGCACCAAATTATAGCTCCTCTAGGATGACACAGCATATGGAACTGCAGGCAGGGACAAGCTAAGCTTAGTGTCAGCTCTAACACCAAGCAGCAAAGCTCCACCGATGGCTTTGCAGCACAAGGACCAAGGGATTGTTTCAAGCAGATTTCTATCTACAGGAGTGTAATGCAAAGGACAGCATGAACGTGGGAGTGCCTCGTGGCACAGGAAAGAGGCGGTTGTTCTTGTACAAAGAAACAATGACAGGCAACAGGGGTACTGCTGCTGAAAATCAGAACATACTGTATCACCTTCCTGTGCCAGCCTCATCCATCCCTTCCACTCTTCTTCCTAGAAATATTGAAGTCAAGGGAACCAGTCTCACCTGATGACATGATTAATGATGATCGGTTCTGGCGGCATAAGCAACGCGTGAAGTCTTTGTGGGATTTCAGAGAACTTCATCCGCTGAGATTCAAAGATCTGTGACAGAAACATGGAGCTAAGGAAAGGGATGGGAGCTCAGTGCCAGCGATCTCTGGCTGCTGACAAAGAAAAGCTGAACCAGTCTCTTGGTCCAGCCACGCTGTTACCTGCTGGAGGTATTTGTCACAGATGACGTACTCCCGCTCGTGGGGGTCCTGGAGCTTGTGGGTTTTGATATATTGCCACAGTGCCTGGATGATCACCGGACGGGTCTGAGTGTGAATCCCCAAGAGACGAGCCAAGCGAGGATCCAATTTGAACTGGGGAGGCTGAAACAAAAAGCACAGAAAGGTGAGATGGCCACAGACAGAGCCAACAGTACAGGCCCTGCAGCGTTCCTCCCACCCTCTCACCTGGTAATCCAGCATCAGAAGGACAGTGCAGCGCACATTTACATCTCCTGGCCTCTTCACTTGGAAGCCATCTGTCTCCTGAGTTGTAGCAGTCCTGTGCCACTGAAGAGGAGAGGGCATTTAGAAGCACCCACATGCTTGGTTCTCTTTGCTCCTGCTGCTTGGCACCCAACAAGCTTACCAGTAAATCCCACCCACCTAAGAGAAAGTTCACCTTATTCCCACTCACTGCTTGAAAACAAGAGTTAATACATTTGTTCAGGCCCCCAGCAAGTCAGAGGAAAAGCTAAGATAAGAATTCAAGAGCTCCTGGCTCCCAGCCACTTGTTCAAGCCTTAAGTATCCCCATCTCTCAAGTTACAAATGAGATACAAACCCTGCCTGCTGAAACACCAACCCATTTTTAGAGGTAACACAGCAAAAAGAAGCTCACCTCTACCAGGTGATTGTCAGGGCCATACAGGTCTTTATCAAGTTCAATGACCAGAGATTTAAAGAAGGATGAGAACTTTCTTTTTTGCTTGGTGGCATCATATTTGGACAAAGCAGACTGCAAGCAACACAGGAAGGAAGAGTGTTAGGAGAGCAAGTCTCAGCACTCAAGCACAGCCACCGTGCACGACAGCGTTCCTTTAAATTCCGAACACCTAAATTCACCAACATGTGCTAGAAAATCAAGTTCCAAGTCAGAAAGTGAAAGACTGGAGTTAAAGATGAGCTTGCAGGAATTAAATCACTCAGCAATTACATACAACGCGAGTGCCCTGGTTCTCAGAGCCAGGGGATGCAGGTGCCACTGATCTGCTCTCACCATTAATTCTTATAGCTATAGGAACTTTGTATAACTCATGTCCTGCCACGGGGATACCCATCGGTCTCCAAGTTGGGCTCTCGGTCTCTTCACCATCAGACTCCTTGGAAAACAGAGATGAAGGAGGATATCAAGCCCCTAGCTACACTCTCAGGCACTAAGAAACTGGTTTTATCGCCAATTCCAGATCCATTCCAGTCACCTCGGTGGTTGGGTATTTCACACTTACATCTTCCAGCAGCCGTCCTTCCACCCGAAGCTCCCAGGAGGCGACTGTTCCTTCACCATCCTCTGCATCCGACTTGGCTGGATTGAAGGTATTGGAGATAAAAATACGTAGCTTTCGTTTTTGCTAAGAGAAAAAGCATCAGCTTGATGTTAATTCTGAAACAGAGGACTGACTATCTTGCTTATGTTTTCCTAAAACTAAGCCTGATGTTTTTAGCTGCTTCTTGTTCCCCTTCTCGCAGAGCAGAGCAAATAAAGAGGCATTTCTGGTTCCACTCCCTGGTTATGTCCAGAGTATTAAAGATTCTGATACGCCACGCTCGCACAACCCGAGCTTCAGTGCCCTCCTGCTGCCTTAGCTAAAGGAAGAGCCTCCAAACCTTCCTCATGATAACCACAAACACAGCCCTCTCCTACCTTAATGGGTCGTTTCAAAGCCTCCTGGATATCCAAGCGTTTCCTCATGATGGTCTGGTCCAATTTCCTTTCAAAAGCCAGCAAGTCCATATAGGCCTGAGACTCGGGGACAAGCTCACGAATCTACAGCCAATTAAGAACACAAATCACCGTCAGCTTCCCCCCCCAGCGCTTCTCCAATCTACTTCAGACCCACACAGACTGCACCCCCGTGTGCCACTCACCCTCTGAGGTAGAATCTTGTCAGCCATCTTCTTCTTTTTAGCGCTGTTAAGGAAGAAGATGCACACACAGGAATTAAAATAGCAACCGCCCGCTACCCGGGGGCACTGACAAAGGGAGCAGGAGGACGGTTCACGCTCTGGTTTAGTGCTGAGGCGTGAGCAGCGCTCTCAGCTGAGATGCCAGTCTCAGGCTCTCATTTTCAGAGGGACTTATCATCACTGTCAGCACAGAATCAGGCTCTTTATTCCCCACAGCCTCTGCCAGGCCTCCAGCGCTGCCGAACTCCGCAGCAGCGGGACTATCACCCATCACCTGAGCGTTTCACATCCCCTACGAGAGCGCAGAACGCGGGGTCACCTCACCTTGGCAAGGACGTGGTGACAGAACGCCTCATCAAAGTGACTCTCTTATCCTCAATTAGCTTTGGAGTGACTTTTCGAGGAGATGCATTTTAAATCAAGGGATGAATCACGAGCATCACAGTACAGTGCCAGAAATTTAATGTAAACTCGCTCTTGGCTACCAGCTGCACGTTATTCTTTTATCTGCTGCAAGTCCCCCTCTCCCAGGCAAGCTGGATGAGGAAGCTGATGTCTCTTTCAGACATCTCAACAAAAAAAAAAGCCAGGAGCAGCCCAAGTGTGTCAGGAAGGCAGAGCCCTGGCCACAGCCGAACAGAAAAGCTTTGTGCTGCTGAGCACAGCCAGCTCGTTACACCAACTCAGCGCCTGACGCTGCCCGGTGTCCCCGCTTCAGCCAGGACTCACCCACCTCTCGCTCTCTGACTGTGGGGCTGCTGCCTGCCCACACCCCCAGACCTGCCCTCTCCCCGTGGGGCCTTTGGGGAGAGAGACAACGAGCCTGTGCCCCGGCCTGGGGGTGCTCTGGGACACCCCCGATGCCCAGGGATGACCTGAGACACACTCGTTACCCGGGGATGCCCGGGATGTCCCCACTGCTCAGGATGACCCGAGACATCCCTGGTGTCCAGGGACACTCTGGGATGACCCGAGACATCCCCGTTACCTGGGGATGCCCCGGGATGTCCCCGCTGCCCCAGAGATGCCCCGATGCCCCCGCTGCCCCGGGGATACCGGCCCTTACTTGTGGTTGCGGTTGGGCACAGCCTGCGGCTGCACTTGCTGGAGCTGTTGCGGTGCCGGTCTCTTGCGAGCCTGGTCCA